CTTTTGGTTCTTATCCATAGCCTGACATGTATCCTGGAAACTGCTGGGCTTTCAAAGGATCACAGGGATATCTGGTGGTCAGGCTTTCTATGATGATTTTCCCAACATCCTTCTCCCTGGAACACATACCAAAAACGCTTTCACCCACCGGCAATATTACCAGTGCTCCAAAGGATTTTTCAGTATACGTAAGTGGTACCATCTGCAAAGCGAAGGAATGTGGTCTTATCCAACGTTCAGCTAAAATTGCTTTAGGTGTTTCTAGTGATGATTAAAGGATTTCCAATGGCTCTACATATTGCTTTTTTTAACCTTTCCCTGCCTAAGTCAGCGCTTAGTTAATAGTTGAAACAGCCCAGCCTCATTTGGACAGTTGATCTAAATAAAAGAACAGGAATGCAGAGAATGTAAACAAGCATCCGTCATCTGTGGAGAGTAGGAGGACTAGAAATAAAAGCCTTTGCTAAGGGGGCAGGGCTGCAAAGGAGTGTGACAGGTTTAAGGGCTGACTGCCTATAAATTCCGAACTACCATTCCTGCTCACTTGGTAACTCTCAAGCATCTGTTAAAATACAATAAAGATAATCTGGCTATGTTGACCGTGTCTCATTGGGAACCTGACACTCAGTGCTCCCTAGATGTCTTGGGTTTTAACTTCTCTAACTACAGGCCTGCATGGTCATCCTATCTGAGTATTAGAGGAGTTAAAGCCCAACTAATATGAAGGGCTCTAGGTTGGAAAGACTGTTTTACTATATCACCTCTCTTTAAAAAAAACCCTCTTCGAAACATTGGCAATCTCTACAAACAGATAAAAGAGCAAACAAAAAGCTATTTTGTTTTTCAGTGTACCTAGTCAAATAACATAAAAGGGATTTCAGTGAAATGCAGAAACCAAAGGAGATTGTTATTTTAACTTGTGTATGTGTAATACAATAGACCTGGAAAATCAAAATGCAACTATTATTTAGGAAAAGCTGATGTTCTATAAAGATCTCATCTCAGATGTTTTCAGTACAGGTAGTCCCCAGTTTAAGAATGAGTTCCATTCCGAAGGCCTGTCCTTAAATTTGTATGTAAGCCGAAACAGTATTACTGTGTGTATAAGTAGTATTGTGTAATTAACTCGAACCATTGTGTATTTAATTTGAATTGTTGTGTATTTAACTCAAATTTTACTGCAGTAGGCTCTGTTCTCAACTATGGGTTGTCCATAAACCAGGCGTTCTTAACCCCAGGACACCCCTGTATTAACATCTAGTTATCATGAAGCTCTGTTACGGTGTTTGTAAATTCCATATACTAAAAATAATATGGGATGTTAGGATTATTTTCTTACTCTTTTATAAACTTTATCTTTTGTAGCATAATATTTATCATCTCTGTTATTTTTTGGAGGATAGTGAGTCTGAAATTAAAATTGAACTGCTTATCTTCTCTGTCAAGAATTCAGAGCAATACAAACTATTTGTATTGGCAGGGTCTTGAAAACGAGTATCAAGAAGAGGGGATACTTCTGGGCCAGTATACATACAATCAAGATGGAGAACCATTACAGATGTTTCAAGTCTTGGTATGTCAGCATTTCAGAAGATAAAACTATTTTTTTTTTATGCTTTGCATAAAAAACGTCTAGTGTGAAAATAATAACGGATTCTGATTCTTTTTCTTCTTCTTTTAGGAGACAACTGAAAAAGCATTCCAAATAGTGGAACTAAGAATATTTTCCAACTGGGGCCATGCGGAATATACGTGCCTCTATCGCTTCAGAGTGCACGGGCAAACTGCTGAATGAACACTACACTTGTTTTCCTATTCTGGTTGTACATCATTTCTGTTTTAAGTTTATAAAGGGAAAGCTTCGAACACTGGAATCCTTAAAAGATGAGGATATGTGATGTACTACAGGTTCCGTAATTCTTTCCTGGCTAAACATAGAAGACTGTCAACAAAATTGTACCCCAAACCTAATGGTTATCTGCTCAGATGCTCAACTTGTAACTGCCAGACAGCTTTATATTTTAATGTGTCCTTTCTGAGGGGGAAAAAATGCATGCCAACTGCTCTCATTCATAAGCCCAATTAGCAAATCATTAACCCCTATTTTAATATGTCAGAAGATAAAGCTTTTAAAATTTCCTTTTGGCCAGCAGGAATCTGTTTTTAATATTGGGACTCTCCTCTGCACCTTTGTGAGATTAAGATAAAAAGAACAGTGGATGAAATGTAGTGTGTCCTGTTGTTTACACAGCTCCCAGTCAAATGAAGGTTTGCTTGCAGTTCCAGCACAAGCCACCTTGAAGCTACAGTCTGCTACCACTGCTCAGTTTTGTCTCAAGAGCTCATTAGCACCGTTTCAATCCTAAAGCCACTTCACCAGTTCCAGTCACTCCATGCAGCATTTAATTTTTTTTATGTTGAAGGTTCTGATTTCAGCTGAAGTGTCCTTTTATATACATCTTCTGGATTTAGAACATTTTTCCTTAAATATATTTTAGTTTTAAAAAAACATCCTTTGGTTTAATGTTAGAGCCCAAGAAATCATTGGGCACAAGACTGCTAATAGAATTAGGAGTTAAACAGGCAAATGAATATCAGTAGCAATTGTTTAACATAGAAAGGGCTTAAACCTGATTAAAAAAAAAAACTCACCTCTTAAGCAGGTTGATGGATTCTAGGAAGGGATAGGGATTGAGTGAATTAGTAAGTTGCCTTGTGTGCTGAAGGCAAAATGGCCCACATGTTTCAGCATCAAGTGAATCAGAAGAATTAAGGAGGTTACACTGAGAAGAAATGGTTTGGATGGAACTGAATTAGAAAGATTTGTAATAGTAGATGGCTACCATATGAAGGGAGATAATGAAAAGGAAGTATAGAGGTGGAGTCAGGCTTAGAAGATGATAGCAAAAACATAAACCTCAAAGAAAGCAGCTTGCCAGTAAATCCATGCCTGGAGCTTATTCACATGTTGGGTTTTGTGCAGTTTACCTTCCCAAAGTTAATTTTGTACTCTGGGATTGCTGCTAATCTCTGAAAATTCAGGGGAAGCTTCACAAGGCTGAATGTATGGAAAAGCACAAAAGGCAGAGTTTTGAATCGGTTCTCCAAAAACAAAAAGTATCTGTGTACTTTTTTTTTAAGCACGCATATGTACATAATAAAATTGGTTAGCAACTTCAGGAAGGCACCTGAAGCTATGATCAGATTCTTATGGAATTTCCCTTAAACTAATTTAATACAAGCCCTGACAATTCAGCTTCCTTTTTAAAATTTAATTTTGAAATATCTGCCTCAGCAAAAGCTTTTTTGTTGTATGAAAATGGTACCTTAGATCCTGGTTTTTTTGGAAGGTAAACTTTGATTTCAGAAAAGAGATGTGCTTTTTTTTTTTAATAGAGTAAACATATGTTGCACGAGAGTCCTCAAATATTTATAAAAGCGAGTTTTATTCTTGAATACCACTTGTTCACCTCAGTTTAGCTGGAAGTAGAACCAGTGGCCTATTGAGAAAAGCTTGGTAAAGCCTGTATAGTTTTAAGAATATAATTCCAAATTATCCTGTATAAATCCAGATTGGGGAAGGGCAGGTTTTTTTTGCATAACACTAACTTATTTTTTAAAAAGCGAGATAGGACTTTGTGCAATGTATTTTTGTAAATGCTTTTTCAAAATATTTGTCTCTGGTATCCTTTGCTGCCTCCTAACTGACAAGAAGCTATTGAAAAAGTTTAAGAATTTTAATTTTTGGAAGTGCATGTAATATTTGGAACTAAGAATAAAGTTTCCTTTTGGGTATTTATACTGAATGCTTCTCATGATATGTGGTTGGGGAGGGGATCAAACTCCTCAAAAAAATTAGTAAAAATGGGGAGCAGGCAATAGCAAAAACCAAAATGGAGACCTTTTTCTGTTTCTGCTAAACAGAAAACTAAATGAACAGAATGTATGTAAGGGGATTTTGTCAAAATATTCAAGTGTAACCATACATCCGTTATTTCTGATTTCCACATGGTTAGTAACTTCAAGAAAGAGATCGGTGGAGGACATCCTAAAGTGGATATTTCACTGAGATATTGCCCTTTCTGGTTTTGGAATGACAGGCCAGAACTAGAGCCCAAGGAAAGATTGTTTTTTTTCCTTAAAAACAAGGTAGGAATGAAAGAGAGACATTTGTATGCATTTGGGTGCAAATATTGATTGGGTCTCCAGTGTGCACTTTCCCCAATATCGTCCTTATTTTCTGTCAGTGCCCAGGTGGGCTGGATGCCATCCTCTCTCTAGGAAAACAGAAGCATTAAGTATCATTTCAGAAAATTCTGCCTAAATCTGTTGGTTACAAACAGTAAGACCGGAGCAGGTCATCCTGATTTCCAATAAACCTGGGCTGACTGGCTGCTTCTGTAGCCATAACACGACGAGCAAGAAACGCCCTGCGGTTTGCTTTTAACAACCGCGTTGAGTAGGTCTCATCTCCGTGACTCGGTGGTTCAACTCGTTTGACCAGGCAATTCCCACGGGGAAGCCTTGCTTTGAACGCCCAGACTGGTTGGGGGTGAAACCGTACGTGGGTTTGCACCCTTGCTGCCCTCTCTTTCCCAAAGCCAGACTGAGGACAACATCTGCGGCACCTGAAAGATGGTGGGCTTCTCCCACGTTCAACTCGTGCTCCAGCCGCAGCCGGCCTTCCCCCAAGCACCCCTCAGAACCCAGCAGCCAGAGCCGCCCAGCTGCCAGCGGAAAACGGCCCTGATTCCAGCTGGGTCGGCCCAGAGGTTGCAGCGCGCACACCTGGGGCGAAGGATGCTGCGGTCCAAGAGGAGGCTGCATCCCTGGGCGGCGTCGCCTTGGAGACAGCAGGCGGGACCGCCTCTCGCGCTTCGCCTGCAGGTGGGGGTCACATGACCGCGACGCCACTCGGCCCCGCCCCGCGAAGGCGCCGCGCCACACGCCTCAGTCCCTCGCCGGCCGCCGTCGCCCCATTATTGAGTGGGCGGCGCCGGAAGCCCCCCTGCGTGCGTTACGTCGCGTGAGGCAGCTCCGGCCAGGGTCGCTTCGGCGTTTCTCCCCGCCCCGCAGTCATGGCGGCGGAGCAGGAGGCCTTGAAGGGCGGCGGTGGCAGCGTCCGCAACCGGGGGGGCGTCCAGCGCGTCGAGGGGAAGCTCCGCGCCAGCGTGGAGAAGGGAGACTACTACGAGGCGCACCAGATGTACCGGACGCTGTTCTTCAGGTGCGGAGGGAGGGCGGTCCTCGCCCTCCTCCTTCCAGACGCTTCCATTGGCGCACCCGAGCACCGGCCGCACGCGAGGGGCTGCGCCGCCTGTCCCTCGCGGGACCGCGAGGCCCTATTGGGCGAGCAGGAGGCGGGGGAGCGGGCACGCCGGTCTGGCCAAGGCCAGGGAGGGAAGGCGCCGTCGGGTGGGGTGGGGACTCCCCAGCCCATCCTCCCCGCCCGTGGCCGCGCTTGGCTAACCTTAGTGTCGGCTGGGGGGAGGGTAGGGCCGC